CTCCTCACAATCCAAGCCCTCTGCCCCCTTCTGAGCTTATGCCCCTTCCAGAACCTGCACCCTGATCCCTTGCCCCAGACCACAATCCCCTCCTGCCCTAGGTCACAACCTAAAACCCCACAACCCAGCCCCTTGCCCTAGGTGGCAATGCCTTCTTGCCCTAGTTCACAACCCAAATCACTACACAGCAATCTCCTGCTCTAGGTCACAACCCAAACCTGTGCATCTCCTCCTGTGCCCATCGTAACTGCCTCCTTCACCCAAACTCCCTCTCAGATTCTACACACCCTCCAGCATCCCAATTCCTTACGCCAAGCTTCCTTCTGCACCCAACCTCCATCTCGGACCCCACACCTCCTCTATTAGTATCATGGAAGAGTGTGGCCCTTGATCATATTCCAAAAATCTTAGAATGCCTTCTCCCCCCCACCATCAAAAATAATTGTCCACTGCTGCATTACCTGCATTCTCAGGTTCTGGATATCTTGTTCCTGCGCACGCTTGCAGTACTCCAGCTCTTTTATCCGGCACTCCTTCTCTCCCTCAGCATATTGGAGAGAGAAGATCTTTTCTTCCAATGAACGACATTTTGCAGCACTATCTCGGAGTTCTTTCTAGGAAAGCAGCATACACAAACTTCTTAGATATGGGCCAATGTGGCTGGTTTCAAGGTTTGACTGTGAGCAAAGTTTAGTTTGGGGTATACAGTTATTTGTGGGTAGCCATTTATTTTAAAAAACGTACTGGCCTATATAGAGCTGTATTGATAGCGGATTCATATCAGCTGGAAGATCAGATGTTGGTAGATGTGCACATATTCAACTTAAATCAACTGGAATTAGGGGGTTAGGCCGTTAGTGCAGGGCTACTCAACAAGCAGCCCATGGGCCGCATGAGGCAAATTGGTTTGCAGCCCCAGTGCAGTTTGAGTTTACACGGGGCTCAACACACAGCCCATGGGTGGGATCCTTTGAACATGGCCTTCACTGAGAAATGCTCCATAATGGCGAGTCAATATAATGGTCTTCTATTGATACGCGTTTTTGTAGTTCATTCCTTGACTGTCATTGCTTATTAAAAGTGCTGTCATATGGGTGGAAATCAGATATTTATTGCGTTTTATTAATATCAAGGACTTAAATGGGGCCTGCATGTTGTGTAGTTTTGCCTTAATCTTTATATTCATGCCCATCAGTGTGAAATAAGCTATTCGCATATTTATTTGCATGTACAGTACATGCAACAACACGTAAGATGTAGCCCTCACCATGTGCTTAGGAGTACCATTCTGGCCCCCGGCGCTTGCAAAGTTGAGTAGCCCTACTTTAGTGTATAAAGTGTATCCAGTGTTGGCTGTGTACTCAAAACTGGAAATAATTTGGTATTTACACTTCAGAGTGTAAGCATGTGTGGAAAGATGTTCTGAGGGGAAGGCCAAATTCACTTGAAAAGAAGCTATGAAAATTGGAACTGGATTTTTCAAAAGATGAAGTTCTTCAATCTCTAGTTTTGGACAAAATTCCCTACCACCACCAGACTACTCAATGTATTTGATATAGCGGGCTAAATTCTTAATAGGCAGACAACAACAACAAATTGTTTATTGAGCATAACTGATTTTTTTTAAAAACAGATTACTAGCAAACTCAACTTATTGCTTCTGATACTCTATAGCCTATGGTATTTTTTGCAAATACCACACCCTACACTAACCCTAATGTCATGTAACAACTGATTGCTATGATTTTTTTAAAACACACACATATATATTTAAAAAAAATTAAAGTAGAAAAATAATTTGCATCCATATTAAGGCTCCATAACACTGGCAGAGGTGCACAGTATAACTGAGAATTGAATCATGCGTGTTAGATTCCTGAACATCTGCAAAAATAGTACTGTATGTAGCTATTTAGAAAATGTTACAGAAAATTCTGATCACCAACTTACTTCTTTTTTAGAAGCTGTTATTCGAAAAATAGATTTGTGAAAGTTGTCCATAAAGCTCAGTATTAATTCCTGGGTAATAGTAAGTTTTGTTCAAAATAATTTACCTGCTGCTGGCGATTATTCTCTCTCATAGACGCGAAGAGTGTTTCATACTCCTTCACCTGAGATTTTTTAAAAGCCAGGTCTTTCTCTAGTAACATCTTGTCGGTTTCCAATTTCTATTATACAAAAGTACTTGTTATGAACAGCTACTATAATTTGTCAGTAGAAATAAAAGAAAAGATCCCCTTACTTTTAAAAATAACAGAGGAATTAAAATGACTTATTTATCAGCTCATCACAAAGTCAAATTAAATAAAACAATTATAAATCTGTTTTGTTGGATATACTTTTGCTCTATTACAATACTGCAAACTTAGCCCGAAATGTACATGATTACATTATTTTGTACATATTTTTATATGCAGTGCAGTGCTTTGTTTTTTTTAATATAAATTCAGATTTGCATACATATTTATATGTTTTACACTAGAGAAGGCAAGGTCAAAGAAATGTGCCTCTCTCTCAGGCTACATCTACATACATCAGAAAGCTGACAAACTTTCTATATAAATGTAGCTGGAGTCGATGTACATTAAAGTTGAGTTGCTGCAGGGTCTACACTGCAGGGGATTGATTGGAGACACTCTTCTGTCAACTTCTCTTACTCTTCTCATCTGGGATAGAGTAACAGGGTTGATGGGAAAATGATCTGCAGTTGATTTGGCAGGTCTTCACTAGACTCACTAAACCAGCTGCTGGTGGATCAATCTCAGAGCATAGATCCCAGCTGTAGTATAGATTTAGCATCAGACTGGAAGACTGTGAAGTTTGTGATGATCCTTTTTTCCTTTGGAACTTCATTTCCATGGTCTCTGGCTAGTTCCAGAGAAAGCTCCTGTCTGGTTCTGTTCAACAGAATACTTTGACATTATAAAGCACAGAAATAGAAAAACAGAACCATATTTGGTCAAGTTAAGCACCATCAAATAAAGGAAGATCTAAATCCTCCACAATATATAGGTTTATTTCGTTGTCAAGTCTTCCTATGTTATGCTATGTATCCTGGTGTCAAGAGTTCCGTCTCTGAAATAGGCAATTGCCTATAAAGCTAATGAAAGGAGGAAACCATAGTGGTAACTGCAGTGGAGTTTGCTCCTGGGATAAGAGATGGTCTAATCCAAATTTTCTGTATGGACTAAAAATAATTCTTTCAAATGCATCAAATAATCAATTGAATGTAATAAAATAAGGTATGCATTATGCAGGAGAACAGTAGCTGATCATAATTGTCCTTTCTGGTCTCCAAATCAACCAAACAGATTAGGCAATGGAAACTAAATTTTGTAATAACCTACCCCCAAGTCATCTTGTAGGTGGCACAGCTCCTCACGCAAACTGCCAAAAGTAGAAAGTACAAGTCGCAGTGATTTATCAGATGTCACTCTCATCTAGGAAAAAGAAAAGAACACATTTTAGTTTCTTTGTGGGATTTAATAATTGAAAATAACCAAACAAGAATAATACAACTATCTTTAGTTTAACAGTATGGAATTTATTTTAAATCCGTTTCGAGACTTTGCATAATTGCAAACTTGAAAATTACATTTAACTTGCATCTAACATTCTAAAAATGGAATTGTAAGAGCTACTCATGTCACTTGTACTTTGAAATCTGAATGCATGTCTACAAGGATGAGAATTTTTCATCCACTGAAAACAACACTTTCAATTCCATAAAAGTATTGCCTCACAATACAAAACAAAATAAACATTCCAACTAAGGAAAAACAAGAGCAGTGGGAAGGGAGAAAACACTACATTAATATTTTGAATTTTCAGCTATATTGTAAGTTGAGAACGTTCAGAATTAGACAAGTTACAAAAACAAACAAACAGAACAACTAAAACCTATCCTATAATAGTCACTATTCTGGGAAATCAGACAACAGTGACTCATCTTTTTTTGAGGCCTGCCAAACTAAGCTTTCACCTCAAGGAGAAAAACCATTAGATAAAAACACCAGCCCCTCCTTTTAATGAGAAAAAAGCCAAAACAGATTTCAAAGGATATATAAAAAGAGAAACAGTAGTGCTGAGTAATGATTACAGGTATCAATATACTATTTAAAAGCAGCATCCAAGAACACACTATACTCCCTCCTTATTCTACCTGCTGCCCCTGCAGCAGCTATCATTAGAAGGTGATTTCAAACATAACATTTACGCAGGGCCGGCCCGAGCCTTTTGGTGCCCTGGGCCTGGGCGTGCGGCACCGCCCCTGGGCACATGTGCAGGCCCGCTCGTGGGGCGCAGGCCTATCCTATTTAAAAGCAGCATCCAAGAACACACTATACTCCCTCCTTATTCTACCTGCTGCCCCTGCAGCAGCTATCATTAGAAGGTGATTTCAAACATAACATTTACGCAGGGCCGGCCCGAGCCTTTTGGTGCCCTGGGCCTGGGCGTGCGGCACCGCCCCTGGGCACATGTGCAGGCCCGCTCGTGGGGCGCAGGCCTATCCACCCACGGTGCGCGGGCCTGCCCCCGCGGGGGCCCACGCA